TCTCCCACCAGCCCATGAAGCAGGATAGACTGGCTGTGAATTCGGTAGCTGGGCAACTCTGAGGATTAAATGAAATGGATGGCTCATGTGGATTGCTTGGCATGAAGATTTTAAGGTCTTGAGATGGACCCCACATTCACTTTCCAGATTTAACATTTCCAACATTTAACAATCCAACATTTATTGAGCACCTACTGTTGGGCCGTCGGTGTTTAGTTCCTACAGCATAGATAGGGCTAAAGAACAAACCCGAAAACAGTTTGCTCATTTACAGCTCACATTCTAGCTAGAATCCAACTAGAATCACACCAGAGACCCTTACACCGTGCCTTTGCTCAAGCTATCCCCTTTTCACACCCAACCCAAACCCTACCTTTCTCTCATCTGTGATCTGCCTTTCCCTAGAAGCTGTGGACCTCCCCATGGCTTTCCTGTCCAAACTGACTGGCTTAACAGAGCTGAGTACTTGGCTTACATTAACTGATCACAGGCTGGCCAATGTCTTGCGATGTGGCCAGTCCCCTTCCTACCGAGACACTTGAGTTGTGAAGACAGTGAGGATTTGGACTTCAATGGTACTAAAACTGATTGTCTGCCCAGCTTGCCAGCCTGTGTTGGCGGGAAAAGGCTCTGAGACAGCAGAAGCTGTGAGAACGGCACCTGGTAGGAGGAACCAGACTTCACGGGGCCCCCCAGGTTGCCGAGATACAGCTCCAGTGTCTGTGCCTCTGTGATTCTTGATGCCTCCTTGGTTCATGTCTCACTAATATACACCCTTATTTCAGGAGCTGAGCAAATCTTTTCCTGGAAATTCAAAGACCTTCACACAACCCCATTAAACAAATGAGGAAATGGAGGTTCAGATGGCACACAAATCGCCTAAGGTCACAAAGCTGGTTAGTGACCAACTCAAGAGTATCAGATGAGGTCTGCCTTGCTTCGAAGCCTTGCTGTCTGATGTTTTCTATCACCGTGCATTACTTATGAATATTGCCTCTCACCCTGTAATACATTTGTTTACTACAAGCCTCCCTTCAAAATGTCCTGAGTAAAATGAAGCTGCAGGCGACACATGCAGCACTGAATACCCAGCATCCCGAAGAAGCTGGTGTGTGCACCAGCTTGCACGGCAGAGCCTGCACTCTCCTGTAGGAATGGATCTTCTAAAGTCTAAAATCATTTAGGTTCGATAATGTCCAAACCTGTGTTCAGCAGGGTGGAGGCCTGCTCTGCCCCTGGTGGTGGCCGATTCTCTCGATTTCTGTGGGGCCGCTGTAATGTGAAGTCTGTCCTGCGCCTACACGCGGGCCAGGCTGCCGGGCCTTGGTCTTCTTGGGTCTGATTTAATAACACACAGTTTTAGGTGGTATTAAATCAGAAATCAGACAGTCTGGGTTTCTAACGGCACTCTAGAGCCTCAGTCCTTGCCAGCTATGCGACCTCCCTGGATAAGTTTTCTGAAGCAGCCTTGGACAGGTTCATGGGCACTTTACTTCTTCACGTGCATCAGCTTGACCCATTTCTTCTTTCCAAACCCACTGACTTTGATTAAAACTGGGAGTATGCACTCAAATGTGTATCCTTTTTTTTTTTAAATGTATGTTTGCAATGCCATGTGTGACCTGTGAGGGACGCCGACAGGTAGCGATTAACTGCCTCTGAAAACCCGCTGGAGGGTCAGCTATGTGTCGGTTCTGACTCTGTGGTACACAAGAAGCTGCTTGTTATGTGCTGTCAATTTGACTGCAACTCACAGCGACTATGAACAGCAGGCCTGAACTTTACCCTATCCTGTACCATCTCCAGTACACTTGAGCTCATTGTTTCCATGTCAATCCATCTTGTAGGTCTTCCTCTCTTGGGCTGACCCTCTACCTTTCCAAGCATGATGCCATGCTCCAAGGCATGCCCTCGTACATCAGAGTTTCACGGTCTCTGCCTCAAAGGAGCACCCTAGTTTCACTTTCTTCTGTTTCTTCTCTTGGCAGTGTATGGGCTATTCAGTACTTTTCTCCTACAACTCAAAGGTATTGATTCTTCTACTGTCATCCTCAGTCACTGTCCAACTTTCAGATGCACAGTAAGTCACTGAAAAGACCATGGTTTGGATCAGATATACCTTTGTCTAGCATCCTGGATGGCAGATTTACCCAGTATGATACATCTCTGGATTTCTTGACTCCTGGTACCAAGGGTGCTGGTTATGGATCCAATTAAGATTAAATAATTGACAACTTTAATCTTTTCTCCATCTATGATGAGGCTGATGATGTTGCCTATTGGTCCAGTAGATTTTTGTCTTGATGTTGAGATATAATCCATATTGAAAGCTGTAGTCCTTGATCTTCTGCAACAAGTGCTTCAAGTCCTCTTCAGTTTCAGTAAACAAGGCTGTGTCATCTGTATAAGACAGTTTGTTGGTGAGTCTTCCTGATTCTAATGCCACATTCTTCTTCATAAAGTCCAGCTTCTTGAATGATTTGTTCAGCACAGATTAGATATGCAAAAAGGACACAACCTTGATGCCCATCTTTCTCAATTTTAAACCATACTGTGTTCCCATGCTGTATTTAGACAACAGCTTCTTAGTCTACATATCAATTTTTGTATAATTAACAGTTCTGGAATTCCTGTTGTTCTTAATGTCAATCATAATTTGTTGTAGTCTGTACAACCAAATGCCTTTGCAGAGTCAATAAAACAACGGTTAAACATTTTTCTGGTATACTCTGCTTTCTGCCAAGATCCCAGCTTGGTCTGACCCTTGAGCCTGCTCCTTGACTCACTGAGAGACCCCTGGATGCCAGCAACCAGCCCGACCTCTGAACCTTTCAGAGTTGCACCCAGCTTAACAAGAAAGCTCCTGCCTGCCTCGTGATATCTGTACATTTGCTTGTCCTTAGGATTTGCATTTAGGGGTACAACACTGTCATTTTCTTGTACTGGGGGAGTGCTTTGCATGTTGCTGTTTCATAACTAAGTACATGCGTGCTTGTTTATCACCTGTTTTTAAGGGTACAGTGCTTGCCTATCAATTGTTACACTAAAGTGGTGCTCCAAAACTAAGATTGACTAAGAAGGATTGGTCATCTACTTCTGAAAAAAAAACAGGCCTTCAAAAACAACAGAATGAAACAACAGGCTATGAACAACAGAGAACACTGATAGAGTGGTGCCGGTGGAAGACACTAAAAAATGAGAACAGTTGCAAACATCCACTAATAACTGGAATGTGGAATTTACTATGTATGAATTTAGGAAAGCTGAAGTTGTAAAAAGTGAAATGGTATAAAGGTAGACACATTCTAGGCATCAGAGTGCTGAGATAGATTGGCGTTGGCCACTTTGAAACAGAAAGTCCTATGATCTGCTATGCCGTAAATGAAAAAAGTGAAGTAAAAGAGGGTTGCATTCACAGTTAAAAGACCATTTCAAGATCCAGCATGAAGTACAGTGATAGGATACTGGATGGCATCCCCTTCTATTCCTGATGAGGAAGCTACTGCCTGGAAGAGGTGGTGACTTACCCAGGTAACAGAGTCCCGCCTCACCCTCCCAGGTGCTCTGCTGGGCCCCTGAGGCCTCCCCTTTTCAAGAGTCAGTGTCAGGAGGCCAACGCCACTGGGAGGCAGGTCCCTGAGGATGCTAGCTGGGGGCCACCAATGGGGAACAGGCGTTGAGCGTTTTCTATTTATTGACTCTTTAAACTTCATCATCCAAGGAGAGTTAATACATGGCTGTTTGGTAGCAAGAGAAACATAATCTAAGATCCCAAGGACCCACCCACCCCAAACAAAAACAAAACAGAACAAAACAAATCCCACCGTAACCAGACCTTTGGAGTAGTAGCTGGAGAAGCGAGGTGCTGAGGGTCAGGCTGGCTCCCTGCAAAAGTCTGTAGGGTGGGGAGGTGGGTCTCAAGCGGGAGCCTTCCCAGTTCTAGAGGCCACAGCTGACCCCTTAGCTCTGGGGATCCTTCCTGAAGGGGTGCCCCTGGCAGGAGGGGACTTGAAGAAGAAAGGGCCAGTGGTCAGAGAGAAAGGATTCCTAGGTCTGCCCTCAAGGTGACCATATGTGCCAGTGCATGAGACACAGGGAGGGAGGAGGCTGGGGATAGGGAGGGGCACTGTAAGGAGAGCAAGATGGTGCTTTTTTCTTACCTGTAGGCCAGGAAGAACCATGTCTATGGCCCACCAGTACTCCCCAACTGAGAAACCACTAAAGGCACTGCTGACAAGCTGAGATAGGCCAAGGCTGGTAGGTCACCCAGAAGGGAATCACTGGGCCCCAATAGTTGTCATCTTGTTTTGGTTATCCAAGGGGACCTGGCCCTTGGCTCTGATCATGGTGGGCAGCCTAATCAGAATGGGTTCATGAACTGTTATGCTGAAGGGCTGTGGTTTTAGTGCCCTGGATGTGCAGAGTGTGTGTTTGTGTTTGTGTGTGTGTGTGTGTGTGTAACTGGAGGAGGGAGCATTGGTCCTTCTAGAAAGGCTGACAGGGCCCTAGGCTGCCATAAGAATAGGGTGTCCCCTCTTCTGTCATTTCCTCAAATTACCTCCTGCCTTAGGTCATTGCATAAATAAGTGCTTGGGAAAGTACACATTGAAAAAGGAACATAAATACTGTACATGGGAAGGGATTTTATCCCCAGTCTTCCTGTTGCCCCCATAAACCCTCCAAATATTGCACATGGCCCTCCCCAGTCACATGGGGTCCAGGCCTGGCCGTGTCTTTGGTAGAAGCTCCAGGGACAAAGGTCCACGTGCTCGCATGCCCCACCACAACTGGGAGCACCGAGCAGCCAGAGGGTCAGGAGAGGAGGCGGCCTAGCTGGCTGTGGTGTTCCTCCTGGAATGCCTGGAGCAGATGGGAGGGAGCCCATGCAGGCACACGTGTGCCCCTGGCCAGACGCCCATCAGAGTCGGTGTGTGGGCTGGGAAGAGGCAAGCAGGCTGAGGGCGGGCAGGTGGGGGAGTCCTGGGCCTTGGTGGAGAGGGTCACACCCTCCATAGGAGGAGGTGGTTTGTGCTGTCATCTCGGCCCACGGTCTCACTGCTGCTGCCGCCCCCACTGCTGAGCCGGAAGTCCTCATAGCCATCACCACCACTGATGACCAGCATTTTAGGCCTGGCTGAGGTGGAACCTCGGTATCGGGAGGAGTCCTGGTGCTCCAGTGATGGCAGCTTCTCGGGGCCTGGGGGGGGGAGAGGGAGGAGCCATCAGCCAGAGGGGGCTGCATTATCCCCTCAGCACTCACACCCCAGCAGGAGACAGGAAGCCATGCACACTTCTACTTCCTCTTAGCCAGGAATGTATTCAGAAAGAAATGTTCAATTTCTGGCTGGCAGATCACTTCTTGTCTCCCTGTACTTTCTAGTTAGGGACTGCTTAACATCTTACCAACAGACACAACACTTCCTACCTCTTCTGATTGTTGCTGTGAGGTGATGTCTAGTCAGTTTTCTTTCTGGCTGTGTGATCTTTATGGAAACGACTGACCAGCTCTTTCCCTGCTGAGCTGATGGGTGACTTCAAACCATCAACTTTTCAGACAGCAGCCGTGCACTACCCAGTGTACCACCAGGCCTTTGTTCTCATTTGATTACTCAGAACCTCCCCTTAGTACTCATGTCCTAATTCCAACTACCCTTTTCCAATTAAACAGCTTAGACTCAGTTATACAGACGGCTCCTGACCAAGGCCTCACTGTTTTCTAATTCCCATACGCCACTTCCTCTGGGGAATATGGCTTCCTGTCCTCAACACAAGACATTTCTAATTGTGACCTCCCTGATACACATCATTTCCTAGGACGCTTTACTTTCTAATCCTCATCCATTTCCTGTCCTATATGCCATTTTTAGTTCTTGTTTTCTGGTTCTATTTCTATTTCCTGCTCTGCACATCACTTCCTGATTCTACTTCCTGTCCTTTATACCCTTTGCAGTTCCATTTTATTTCCTGTTGTATATACTTTCCTGTGTCACATTCTAGTGCTTAGCTATTGTTCATGCCCTGTTTCCCATTATGTGTCTTTGGGTAGAATTTTACACACACATCACATCCTAAATTTAATTTTGGGTTTTTTCATAGCCTACCTCTGATAATGTGCTCTCCTTTCTCTCCTTTAAAAAAAAATCTCTTCTGGTAGGCCAGTGAGGGTCCTAACCCAAAAGCTGAGGGTCCCTACCTAGGTGAGAGTAGGTTGTTCAGACCCACCTGTGTCTGGGGGAGGTGGAGGGGTTGGGCAGAGCAGGTTGAAGCCATCTGGCAGTTGGACTGCAGCCAGAAAGCGGACATGGCCGGTGTGTCCCTGGCCTAGGCCAGCAGGGCTGAGCGGAGCCCGTGGGCAGCTGACAGTGCTGGGTGAGGTGGGCATGGTGAGCACGACACCTGCACTGGTGCCGACCCACAGCAGCTCTTCACACACCAGCAGCGCTGTGATCCGCAAGCAGGCAGCCTTGTGCTGACGGATGATGGCATCTGAGCCTGGGATGGGAAACAGACCAGAGCTGAGGCCAACTCCTGGCCCTGGCTCAGCTTCCCCACGCACTCCTCGATGACAGAGACAACAAAGTTCCCAGGAAGCACGCAGTGGTGGCTTGAGGTCAGTACCTGCCAGCATCCTGTGCACAGGAGGTGTGACATCCACCTCTGCCAGCTGCTCGAAGGTGTCTGGGTGGTAAAGACACACGTGGGCACTGCCTTTCAACGTCACCCACACGCCCAGGCTGGAGTCCACCATGCAGGCCACACTGCGGCTTGAATCCTGCCCCACGTAAAACGTGTGCTGTGGTTGGGATGATGGTAGAAAGCCGAAAAGTGAGTGGTAGACCTGTTCTCTCTGGTCCCTCCCTGCCTTGTGCTTCACAAAGGTCCATCTTCCCCTCCTAGAATTCACTGGAAACCTCTCCAGACAGCCCACATGGGCTGACAGTAATGGCTATCTTGGTCCCTGATCAGATGATTAACCTTTCAAATCTACTTCTCTGGAGCTTCCCTACTCTAACTTCAGGTGGTAAAATGATGGTGCCCTCTCCCCATGAAGCATGAATGATCAAAGAACTTCAAAGCTTGGAGAGCTGGTTTAGGACCAGCCACTGACCTCTCCTGGGCAGACAGAGAAGCTGAAGCCTAAGAGGAAAGAGTAACCTGCCCTAAGTCACAAGGCAAGTCAGTCTGAGCGCTAGGGCCTGAACTCAGGGACCCTGAGCCCAGCTGGTGAGGGGAAAATCAAGGGAAGTTGTTACCCTTGGATACCCTCGGGCTCAGTGGTAGGTATGTAAATGAGGCCAGGACCAAAAGCCAGAGTCTGTGCTAAGGTATACTGACATTAGCAAGGACTTTATCCTATTTCCAAAAGATTTTATCTAGTTCCTGAGTTGAGATATGCTAGAGAAGAAATAAAGATTAGAAGGACAGGGTCTGGGGACCACACGGTGGTCAGGGAAAGGCTTCAAGCCCTCAGCTGGGTCTATTTGTGGCCTAGGATCTTATCTTCCTCTCTTGGGCCTGGTTTACCCCAAGTCACTAATTCTGTCCCGACCCCTAGTACCTCCAGCTGCAGAGTGTCGGGGCTCAGGACGAGGACTCGGTTCTGGCAGCCACACCACAGCCGCCCACCCACAGATACCATCTTGGTGATGGGGTTCCCCTGAGTTCCCAGAGTCACGGATTTGAAGTTCTGAGGGTCCCAGAAATGACCTAAGATGAGAACAGAGCAAATGCAGTTCAGTATCACACTTAAGCTTCGACCTCCCCTAAAATGAAGGGATGTCATCATCATTTACAAATGAATACACTGAGGCCCTGAGATGGCCTGGGAGCTGCTCAAAGTCATATCTTTGGACTCCTGGTACCACCACGCCCAGGAGAGAGCGCCAACAGCAGCTGGCAGACACTCACCTGCTTCCCTCTGGTAGACTACAAGTTCTCCATTGGCCAGAGATACAAACACCTGATTATTTAGATACCTGAGCAGGGAAAAGAGGGCAAGTCAGAGATTTTAGGAGCTAAAACAGGCCCCCTATGATCCCCTGAGACCAATATAGTCAACAATAGAATGGCAATAGCGCCTAAGAGGTCTCCTCTTTCTACTGCCTCATTCTTCCGTTTGGGGGAACTTGACACAGAGAAGCCTCAGGCCACAGAGCCCGTAAGCTAGCCTAAAACCCTGTCCTCTTGCTTCTCTACGTCACAGAACAGAGGTGCCAACAGGGCAGGGGGACCAGGGTAACAGGAAGCCTATTCTGTGGCTGGGAAGGATCTGGATGGCGGAAGCCCTCCTGGTGTCTTACAGGATGCAGGTGACAGAGGCTGCGTGCTGGAGCTTCATGCTGTTCCTGCGATCTCGGATGCTGTCGGAGGACTGGTACACGTGGACACTGTGGATCAGGGGTGAGCACTGTGATGCATGCCAGGGGCACACCAGTCCCTAGAGATATCCGTTCCACCTCTCTGGCGCCACTGTCTCCTCTGTGCATGGTATCTTCCTGAGGTACAGATCTCACAGTCTCCCCTGGAACCACACAGCCCTCCTACTTCTGCTTCAGGAAACCATTTGATACCCTGGGGAAGGGAACGCAGGCTTCTGCCACCAGGCCCCAAAAGCCCGTGCCCTGCTCCTTACCAGCCATCCTCAGTGCCCAGCCAAACGGAGCTCTGGTAGGCTTCCGGGTCAACGCTCAGCAGGTCCTCCAGGCTGCCCCGGGTGAAGGAGCCGCGGCTGGAGCGGCGAAGGGCTCGCCCATCCATGGGGCTTGTGCCACAGGGGCCACCAGGCCCGAACGAGCCAGACAGTGGCAGGAAGCCAGGCTCCTGCTCCTCCTCAGAGCTGGTCGTCTCCACTGTGGCCTCCTTGGAGCTAGGGGTCTCCTCATCTGAAAGAATGGACTAATTACAAGTCCCCTCCTTCTCTTACCTGAGCCAGAGTCTTGTATCTTTCTAGGCCTCGGTTTCCCCTCAGTGTACTCCACCTGGCTGTGCCTTTCCACACCTGTTCCTCCCTATCTCTACAGCCTCTGCATCAGCACTGGGCTTGACACCAGGCTCACTGACAGCTCAGCGTCAGACTCCTGTCCCAGCCTGGCCTCCTGTGAACTACCTGACATACCGTGGTCAGAGAACACCTCCTTCATCCAGTACTCCAGCTTCCTTCACTCTATTCCAGGGTTCTCCACATGGGGCCCAACTGTCCCACTGCTCTCTGGTCCCTTGATGGATGTCACAGCCCCATCCACTCTGCTGGCCCTCATTGCTGTGTGTGCTAACAACCTGAGATCTGATCCCATGACTTCACATACAATGATCCTCCCTTATCAGGACCACACACTCTCTGGGCGTCCTTTTTGCAGGAAGGCTCCAAGGTGAAAACTCACTTCCAAAGCTGGAGGAGATGGTGGAGCGGCTGGCCTGGCTCTGCAGGGTCCCCGAGGGGCTGGGCGAAGACTCGTCATCTGAGTCACTATCAAAAGGCACTAACTCAGGACGAGTGTCACCCTCAGCAGGCCCTGGGGCCATCTCTAGGCCAGAGCCTGCAATGGAGATGTGCAGACAGGGTTGGGGCCCCGCCTCCGTCAGCGTGGCTGCTTCCTCGTCAGTGGCGGCTTCAGCGTCCAGTTCTGGCCCTGTAGCCTCTGGTGCTGTCTCAGGGGGGTTCCCCAGTGAAGGGAGCCCTTCCCTGTGAGATCAAATAGGAGGGGTAAAAGCTGCTGGGAGCCAAGCGTCTGTCAGCTCTGTCCTCAAGCCCACTGAACCCCACCCAGGGGCATGTCCATCTCCCACACAGCCAGGTCCACTCAGCCCCACATACATCCACTTCCTCTAACCCACCCATAAGCAATGTTAGCTGGGCCCTGTGTATGCTGCAGGCAGACAATCTCCCAGGTCCCGTGGCCCCTCGGCTTCCCTAGGACTCACTGGTTGCAGCGGCGCTGCAGGCCGGGCACTGCCCCGATGCAGAGGATGCGGGCGGAGCAGACGGCGATGCAGGCCTCCACATCGGGCTCTGCACGCAGGCTCAGCAGGCACACCTGGCCCACATAGCCATCACTGTTGCAAACCCACACCTCAGGTGCGGGCTCTGGGCAGCTGCTCAGGGTGGGGGCAGCACAGGAGAACTGCAGGAGGCACAAGTGGACAGAGGATGGTGAATAGAGGGACCACAGCCAGCTTGGGGCTGCTTGACCCCCACCCCCCCAAACAGAGGGAGGGAGGCCTGCACGGGTGTGCACAGATGTAACAGCACAACCTCACATACAAATGTGTACACAAACACACAATACTCTTAACACACCAGACACTCACACCTATGTGACTGTGCCATCACCCATGTACATGAAATAGAATTGTGTGTACATGCATACACCAAATATAATTATGTGTATATGCATGTGACAAACGTGACACTGGTAACCTCTGTACATGCTCTGTAGGCAGATGCACATGCGCATGAATGAAACAATTTCCCATCATATGTAGAGCTTTTGCTTAAATGCAGATGTAGACACATATAAGGCATTTATATAGACTTTGCATGTCCACATGTGTTTAAGAGGTATATAGTCAAAGGCATATGATACAAAGTCAATATTCAAGACAGGTACATAATGTACAAAATAAAAGGACATGAATCATGCCAGCTTTGAGCACATGTTCCCAAGTTGCCCACGTGCAGACACACCTGCATGCCGCTCCTGGTTTTCATGATGGGGATGGCCTTCAGGAACTCAGGGTCTAAACAGCTTTTGCTAGATGCTGTGGTGATGGACAGAACATAGAAAAAGGGATGGGGCAGGAGACAGACTGCTCAGTACTTACTGCCCTGGTCCTGTCCCTGCCCCATTTTCCTTCTTCCCCTGCCTCTCAGGGTCTCTCAGGAGAGGGGCAGTGTCCAGGCCACACCAGAAGGAAGTGGCTGGGAGTTATGTGCAACTTGTCTTTGGTCTTGGTTTTAATATCTGTCCAATAAAGGAGTTGAACCCAAAGGTCTCTAAGGATCTCCTAGAGGCCACAGACCATGATCAAAAGGTTTTTTTTTCTAACCCAGGTCTGCTGAGAGACAGAGAGAGCACATGTGTTGTAGGGTATGGGGAGGAGGTGATTCTGGGAGGAGAGAACAAGCAAGGGTCCTGGCTCACCCAGCTTCCTCTTGGCCTCATCAAAAGCTTGCTCAAAGCCGAGGCGGGCGTCAGGGTGGGGGAACTCAAAGATGAAGGAGTCAGTGCCCTCGGGCCTCGTGGTGCACAGCTCCAGCTTGGTGGGTGGGAAGGAGAGAGCATAGCACAGAGCTTGCTTCTCTGACAGATCCCGGTGCATGGCAGCTGACAGGTCCCGCAGCGCATCATCCAGGTTCTGTGGGGAAGAGGGCTGAGGCCTCAGACTTCTGCTCCTGTCTCTGACAGTGTGTACCAAGATGTGCCTTGCCCCTCAGACAGAAAATGGGACTCTATCTTCCTTCAACCCAATCACCTGGCTTCCTCCTCTACAAGCCAGGGTGGTCCCCTGTCATCCTTCAGACGGGGATGGAGCCACGCCTCCACACTCATGAAAAACACATTACTCTTCTCAGTTTGATGGGCAGGATGTCTTTTCCCTCAGGCAGTGGCAGGAGTGTCTGCCCCTCAGGCTCAGGGAACCGTGCTCCCACCTCAGGCAAAGGGCACTGACCTGGTGGGGAAAAGCAATGCTCTCGGAGAGCTTGCTCATCTGGCCCAGGGTGGTCAGGTCCTCGTCCAGACGGCTGATGGCCTTCTGAATGTTCTCCCGATTGGTAGCCTGGGATGCCCCTGGGGGAGGCAGAGGAAGGCCAGACACTGAAACATGGTCAGGAAGAGCGGCTGGGCACAGGATCTGGAGTCCAGAACCTGTACTTATCCTGCAAGCCCTTCTCTTGACCTAGCTGCAGCCTAGTCCTCTCCACACACCTACACACACACTCTGTTCCCAGGTAGGAACTGCTACAGCAGCAGCTACAGGAACCTCCAGGCTTCATCGCTGGACAGAGTTGGGTTCAGAGTCTAGTGCTGCCTTCACTCTCAGCAAATGTGGGCATTGCATGTCACATCTCAGCCTCAGTATCCTCATCTGTAACCTAGGTGAAAACACCTCTACCTCTCAGGTTGGTAACAAGGATTAAATGAGAGGTACTAGGGAGGACCAGCCTGAGAGGGTTTCCACATTTGCACTTTTGCTAAGGCAAACTTGCCCCTGACAGGGTAGTCATGCTAGTATCATGTGACATTCTTCCAAACTGATTTTCCTAGGGGATTCTCTGGCTCAAGGCAACTTATTAGACAGGAGATCTATAAACAAGAATGACTCAAACAGATTTATGTGCTGTCAAGACAGATTGAAATCACAGCTGGCCCTCCAGTGGGTTTTCAGAGGCAGCAGATTATAAGGAAGAAGACTGCTTATCTTTTTCTTGTGGGGCTGGTGGATTTGAAATGCCCGTCTTTGGGTTGGCAGGACAATTCCTTACCACCAGGCCACCTGAGCCCCCAAAATAGGTCATTTAGGCCAACTAGAAGTCTTCACAAAGTTGAACCAGACCAGTCAGTTAAGGAGTCCTGGTGGTACAGCAGTAAAAGGGCTCAGATGCTGACCATAAAGCTGTCAGTTCAAACTTACCAGCCTCTCTGTGGGAGATGCGATAATCTGCTTCTGTAAAGAGCCTTGGAAACCCTGGGGGACAGGTCTACTTTGTTGTAGAGAGTTGCTGTGAGTTAGAGTGAACTCGATGGCAGTGGGTCTGGTTTTTTCGGTTGGTTACTTAAAAAGCTGACATTAAACTATAGCAAGATTGTAGGATTATAGCAAGAGTACCAGAGAAGTCAGGCTGAAGTAGAGGGAAATCCAGAATAGGGAGGACAAGAAACCAAGGATGATTAAAGGCAACAACTAACAGAGGTAATGGAAAATGGAGATGACCTAAGAGAAGAATGGGGAAAAGACAGCAGTATTTAACCCAAAGGGACTTTTAGTTCCTGGTATGTTTCAAGTTCCAGTCCACGTATTCTTATAATAAACTCCCCTTTTTCTTGAGGTACCTTGAGTAAATGTCTCTCTCACACCTGAAGGAGCCTAACAAGCAAATTAAAATCAGAAGTGAGGTTTGCTGGATGCCAGCGGAGCAGTTCATAGTAGATGGAGAAAAACCATTCATAGAGCCCATGGTTCCTTGAGACCAGCAACATGCTCAGTGTGGGCAAGGCCTTGAGGTCATGGCAGGGTTGCCTTAAAATAATCCCTGGGAGGTTATGGGCAGGAAGCTTGGACAGACACTCTTCACATCACTGCACAACATGCAGTGGGGAGTGGCCCGACAAACCAAGATTTTACAAACCTCAAGTCCCCAGGAGCAAAGGTATCAGGTGGCTCCCAGAAAAATTCAGGGCTGAAAGCAGGAGACTGTGCCTGACTCAGAGCCACATGGCCCAGGGTACCGGCTCAGGAACAGAATAAAAAGGCAGACGGCTCAGCAGGTTGTGCAGTTACAGCTGACACTGAGGTTCTGTGGTGGTGCAGCCTCCCGTGGGGCGCTGGGGGAGCAGACAGCACAGGCAGTCAGATGTGCTGACCAAGGGATTCGTGTCCCCATCGGACAGGGAGCAAGGAGCCACTGGCCTGGATTCCACTGTCCTATCTCAGAAGTGATGGTTCCAATAGCTGGTCCCAGAAGTCAGCCTAGGACTCACACTGCCAGGAGTGGACGCTCAGGACCAGTGGCCCATGATGGACTGTGACCTTCCCTTCACTGGGCCAGAGTCAGAACACCCAAGTTTTAAAATCAAGGGCTAAAGGCTTCCCTCTTTTTTATATTTTCTGAGTGACATTTTCTTTTCCTGTTTCCTTCTAACTTTGTTTCTCAGGTGTATTGCTGGTAGACACAATTTTGGGCCATAGGCTGTGGAATAATTAAGAAAGACCTGGATGATATAATGATGGTGTTAGCAGAGAAATGGAGCCTAAAACAGACACGGAGTTTTAGAGATGGCCTCCTAACCAGGAAGGGACACGGGCACCTGAGATGACCCTGTGGGGAGTGAGGGGCTGGAGTTACAAGGAAGACGAGAAAACCCCAAGAACAGAGGAGCATGGGCTGCTGTAAGGAGTGAAAGAGAAGAGAGAGAGATGAATATATGACATGGCAGAAATGCCCCTTGAGGTTGGTTCAGCTCCTGACAGTATCAGCCCCAAATAATCTTTCCAGTTGTCCCCTTTTCTTGTACTAACTTAAGTGTGTCTCTTTTCCTCATGTACAAAATCACAGAACCATAAGAGTCTAGAATAACTTAATATTACGGGCACCTGCATGAGATGATGCAGATGAATTCATGACTAAGGACAACTCTACCAGTTCTCCTCGCATCTTCACCTGCCTCGTTTTCCTGCTGGTCTGACCCAGTGAGTGCCAACCAGGTCAGCAAGCTCCTTCATACTTGATGGGAAAGTGGGGGCCACGGCAAGAATGCAGACAGACAGATATACGGCTGGCCTGGCTATGCTCAGGTTTCCTGGAGAGCATCTCAAGATACCCGGATACCCAGGAAGTGGATCCGTCCTACCTTTGATGATGTCTGCATCTTCCAGGGGAAGCTTCCACAGCAGCTTGTACTTGCTGGCCGTGTCGATGACGCTGGCTGCCGTGTACCTGTATGGAGCCAACAGGATGCTCTGGGCAGGGTGGGAGGGGGGCACAGGGAAGCAACATGCTCCTCACTGTCCGCATCACCCACCCTACCCGGCCACTCACAGGCTCATGGAGCTGCGCCGCAGGGACCCTGACTTCCGCTTCAGGGTGGTGCAGACAATGAGGTCTGTGAACAGGAAGAGGGACCGGTCCTTCTTGCCACCGACTGCCTTCTGTGGGACCCAAGGCAGCATTCAGGCTGGGTGGACATAGTCCCAAAGCCTATCTTCTTATCTACAGTGCCCAAGGGAACAGTGAGGCCCAGGGAGGGATGAGGGCACTCCCTTGGGCAGACAGTGGGCCAGTTCTTACCACTTCAATGACCATTTCCTGCCTCAGGAACCGTCGCAGAGGGGCCTGGAGCTGCAGGGCAGGAAGTACAAGATTGAAGGCTAGTCATCAATTCCCTCCAGAGACCCCAGTGACTGTTCAGTCTTGCCCATGGGCCCAGGTCAGCGGAAGTAACAATCTCAGAACACTGTGTCATCAGGCTAAGGGGACAGATGGTGAAGGACAGACATGACAGAGACATGGATGTGGACAGAAACATGGACACACAGCCATGATCAAAGGTGAGTGCAGATATAGAGACATGGACTGGACATGGTCACTGGTGACTATAGAAGTGGACACTGACATGCTTGCAGGTGACCACAGATGTGGACATGCACATAACCACAATCACATTGATGATAGACATGGACTTGACACAGCCATGATCCCAGGAGACCACAGATGGAAGCACGACACGGCCACAGCACAAGTGACCAGGGATGCAAACACAGAGCAGATGGACAGAGCGGTAGAGTGAGGTTGCACGCACATCCTCCATGCCCTCGATGTGGGCCTCGATCTCCTGCAGCACGCGTGCATGCCGCTCAGCTTCCTCAGCGCTCCGCACGCCCTTGTTGATGCGCTCAGCCACCTGCTTGATGTTCCGCTGTGCATCCAGCAGGAGTGGGTGGTCTGGGTGGTCCTCAGGTGTGTGCTTCAGGAGGTCCTGGGGTGGAATGGGGACCATGTCAGCCTGCTTGAGTGGATGCTCCCCAGCCCTCAAACCTTAGAATGACTACTGCTGCAGGAGGGACCATGGGCAGGCACCTTTCCTACCTGAGCCCGGGGTGGGGTGGGGGTGGGGGTCCTCTGATGCTAGGCTTAAAAAAGCAGGGCCGCAGGCTTCCTGTATCCCCAGAATTTCCAAGCCTTGTCCGCTTGGCCTCACACCTACCTTCACCAGAAGCTCGTAGCGTGGAATCCGCTGCACAGGTTTGATCATGAGGTCGGACAGCGCCTGCTTCTCCTTGTTCTCCCTCATGCTTTGCTGAAACCCGAAGCAAGGGAGATGTGTGCACGGTGGGAGAAGGACATGCAGGGAGGGGAGTGCCCTGGAAGCCCCCTCTAGCTCAGTCTGTGGCCTGAGGCTGGCCCACTGGCAGGGCTACGGGGACCAGGCTGGAAGTTCAGGGACTCCAAAGCTGAACCAAGGGTGAGGGCCACCCCATCCTCCCGCCCTACCCCACAGTACCTCCAGAAACTTGAGAAAGGCTGGCTTTGCCTCCTTAGCCACACGCACAGCGTCCTTTGCATTGAGGAAGTTATCGATATAAGCAGAGTAGATGTCGACCAAGACGTCCTTGGAGAACTGAGGGGTGAGGAGGCAGGGTGGGGCTCTTTGTAGTATCCTCACCCACCAATCCTGAATCTAGTTTTCACTGATTAATGAGTCAATATCGCCATCTCCCCAACAACTGCAAAGAACACAATCTCCTATGTCTTTGCCTCTAAGTGCTAAGAGTTGTACGTGCCCATGTATATAATACATATATACGTATTTGTGTACGTGCGTGTGTCCTATGAGCTCAGATCTGGCTCTCCCACTTCCAGCGGAGCAATTCCATCCTTTGATTCCAACCCCACCAATTCCAGCTAGTCAGGTCTCCCTGTTCACTGTGCTCTGGGATACAGACTATCCCAGCCACTGGGCCTTTGCCCACATAATTCTCTCTAAGCAGGAACTCCTTTCCATCCAATCTCATCTAGTCCTCAGCATGAGAGGTGTCTCACCTCTCTCAGGAGGAAGGTATTCCTGTCTGTCCAAGGGAAGCCCCACTGAAGTCAGGGCTCACAGCTGGTGGCTAGGACCTGCTTGCTGATGGATGACCAGGCTATATATGGAAATTCTCAATTGGAAGCCCTGGCTGGGAGACAGGACACCTGGGTTCCCATCTCAGCTGCACCAGGAATAGGCCAAGGTGAGACATATGACCTCTGGTGGTATTTCTGGCTTCCTCTAAGTCTCAGAGTCCCTGTCTCTCTAAGGTACCAGCTATCTCTGCAACATCACTACGTCTGGACAAGACAGGGCAGGGCAGAGAGTGAGCCTGCCCACAAGCCCTGGTTCTGGGACATGGTGACTCCTCCTGGGGACCCAGGCTTCCAACTTACGTCCATAGACTGAGTCAAAGCCCAGGCAGGGGCACTCAGTCCAAGCTGGGGTCTCATCACCCAAGGCCAAGGTTCTGGTCACATCAATTTCTAGGTCAGTAGGCTCAAGGCCTCATCCCACTTCATAGCACACACTTGAAAGGACATCTACAGCTCATAAAAATAGGTTCATTTTTGTTTGTTTTCTATAAATTTTTTGGAAGGATCTGTATGTTTCTGAAATGATTTGTTCAGGTCAAGAAAAGGGCTGGGGTCAATATCAACATCCAGTGGAGATCTGGGTTGGTATTGGTGACAGGAATCAGGGTCAGTTCACGGTCACCACGGGTGCTGGGGCCAGTGCCAATGTCTCATTCAACTGTGTGTGTGTGGGATCTGGGCTCAAATTCAGTGCCCCGTGCGGGGGTCAATGCCCAGCATCCACCCTGCTAAGGGGCTCGAGCTCGGAGAGGCTGCAGCAGTGGGCAGCGGGGCCACTCACCGACTGGATGAGCAGGTCTCCCACCTTCTGCTGGGCATGCCACGTCTGCACACAGTGCCGCACCTGCTCCAGGAACTGCTCGTGGTGCTGTAGGAGCTCAGGGATCTGGTCGAAAATCTCGTCCACCAGTGATGGGTCACACAGCAAGGAGTTCTCTGGCTGCTTCAGTGGTTGCATGTAGCCCTGAGAGGGTCCACAGGGTCAGTGCAGGTAACCTCAGAGAGACAAGACCCTCAACTCACCTGTACAGATGTGAGCAGACAGCCCTGTCGAGGGTCCCTGTGTGCCCCACATGGTATCACCTGGCCTGCAGGGCTCAGTGTCCTGACTCCTATACCTCCCTCGAAGGTAGGCACTCCAGGAGGGGGTGAAAAGGCCTATCCTCACACCTCTCCCTGGCCCGTAGGGTCTGGCTTAAGATAGGATGGGGCTACTCAGAAAAGGTTTTCTGGATGAATGAACAGAGATTGGAGTTTGGAAGGCAAGAAGCTGGGGCTCCCTGCAGGATCCACACCCCCGAACTCGTTCAGCAAATATTTACTGAGTATCTAATATGCTCCATTAATAAGACTGAAATGGAAAAAAAAAGACTAAAATGGGTATCATAAGACTCTTGAAACTTGGTCTTCAACAAAAAGTTAACTAAAGCAAATGCAAAAATGTTGGGAGTAAAAGAGAAGATTTAAAAGGGTGACTTGAGACAACAAAATAAAGTATTATAATGAAATGGGCAAAGGTCTGCAGTTAGGAAATCAAGAAGGAAGAATATGATTGATATTTCTCAAGCTGTAAGAACTGAAGTAAATAAAAAAATTCAAGCCCTGAGTTACAATATGGAAGGATCCTACAGGCAAAATATTCTATAATGTAGGAAGTATATAGAGTCATTGTACAAAAAAAAATTTAAAAAAATTGGCTGACACAGAAAAATTTCAAGAAACAACTTATGATTAAGAGGCAATGGTAATGAAGGAAGACTGAACAGATGCTGCTCTGAAGGACTTGGCAAAAAATAAGGCCCCAGGAATTGATGGAATACCAAATGACATATTTCAACAAACAGATGCTGCCCTAGATGTGCTCACTAGGTTGTGCCAAGAAATCTGGAGGACCTGGCCCGCTTATTGGAAGGGATCCATATTTATTCCCATTCTAAGAAAAGAGCAGGAAAATCATTGAACAATATCACTAATATCACACACAAGGAAAATCTTGCCGAAGATTATTGAAAATTATGACTGCGACACTATATCAACAGAGAGCTACCAGAAATATAAGTTGGGTTTAGAAGAGGTCATGGTACTAGAGACAATGTCAGATGGATCTTGGCTGAAAGCAGAGTACCAGAGGAATGTCTTATTTGTCTTTTACTGACTATGCAAAGGCATACGACTGTGTGGATCACAACAAACTGTGGCTAACTTTGAGAAGAAAGGGAATCCCAAAATACTTGATTGTGCTCATGCAAAACCTATACTTGAACCAGGATGCAGTCCTCTGAACAGAGCAAGGAAACACCTCATGGTTCAAAGTCAGAAAAGCAGTCTGTCAGGGATGTGTCCTGTCTCCAAGCTTTTTCAATCTACATCCAGAACAGACCGTTTGGAAGACTGGGCTTTATGAGGAGGAATGTGACATTGGAGGAATTGGAGGATTGATGGAGGACTCATCAACAACCGACAGTATGCAGATGACATAACCTTGCTTGCTGAAACAGAGAACCTGAAGCGCTTGCTGCAGAAGGGCAAGGACTGTAGTTTGCAATATGGATTGAAGCTCAACATCAAGAAGACAAAGATTCTCATCACTGGTGGGCTAACTGGCAGCACCATGGTAGATGGAGAAGAGAACTGAGGTTATTAACACAGCTTGTTCAGCTCCATGATCAACTCTCTTGGCACCAGCAGTCAGAAATCAAAAGACAAATTGCACTGAGGTAATAATCTGCTGTGAGGGACTTCTCCAGCGTACTGAGAAGCAACGATGTCAGTCTAAAGACTAAGGTGCACTTGATCCAGGTCACAGTCTTCACAATTACTTCCTATGAATCAGAGTTGGACAAGGACTAAGGATAGCAGAAGAAGAATTGAAGCCTTTGACTTATTGTGCTGGAGAACTGGAGAAGAGTCTTGAATATACCATGGACCATCAAGAAAACAAATAGGTTTATCTTAGAGAGGGTGAAACCAAGTTTCTCCTTGGAGGCTAGGATTTTGAAGCTCCATCTCACATACTATGGGCACGTGGCCAGGAGGGACCAGTCTTTGGAGAAGGACATCATGCTTGGAAGGCTGGATGGACAGTGCAGAAGAGGAAGACCCTGAATGAGATGGATTGATACAGTAACTGGGGCAATAAAGGTAGGTGTGTTGGAGTCAGTGAGACTGGCTCAGAACAGGGCAGGCTTCAAGGGAGTAATACTAATGTCGCTATGCGTTGAAGGCACCTAACAACAACAACAACAGGAATTATCAAAAGCAGATGGAAAAAATATACAGTCACTGTATATATAAAAAGAACTGGTCAATGTTTGACCAGTTCAGAAGGCAGCATAAGACCAAGAAGCAATGATGGTGAAAGAAGAAGTCCAAATTGTGTTGAAGACACTGAGGGAAAACAAAGCTCTGGGAATTTATAGGGTACATATTGAGACTTCTTAACAAATGGATACAAAGCTGGAAGAGCTCATTCATTCCATGCCAAGAACTGTGGCAGATAGTCACCTGGCCAACTGAAAGGAAGTGTATTTATACCCAATTCGAAGAAGGGTTATGCAACAGAATATAGAGATTATCAAGCAGTATCATACACAAGTAAAATTTTACTGAAGATAGGGCCAAAACAGCTAGGGCAGTATGTTGGTACATAACTGTCAGAAATTCAAGCCACATTCAGATAAGGATGTGGAATGAGATAACTATCACTGTTGATGTCAGATGGATCTTGGATGAAAGCAGAGAATTGAGAAACATGTTTACCTGTGTTTTATCTATTTTGCAAAGCTATTTGCCAGTGTAGACCATAAGCAAATTATGGATAACAATGCAAACAATGGAAACATTTTACTGTGCCCATGTACATAGGCCAAGAAGCAGAACAAAGGGAAACAGCATCATTTAAAAATCAACAAAATCGTGCACTAGGTTTATATCCTTTCACAATACTTATTCAATCTGTATGCTGATCAAATAATCCAAGAAGCTGGACTATGAAGAAGAATGTGTCATCAGGAATGGAGGAAGACTCAACAGTGACCTATGACAGGCAGATGACACAATCTTTCTTGCTGAAAACATAACAAAAGACTTGAAGCACTTATTAATGAAGCTCAATGATGACAGCCTTCAGTATAGATTACACCTCAACATAAAGAAGACAGAAATTCTCATGACTGGGTCAGTAAGGAGAAAAAAAAGATTAAAATTATCAGAGATTTCGTTTTGTCTTGAATCTATGGTCAATGCCATAGAAGGAGCAGTCAGGAAGTCAAACATTCTTTTGGGCAAGTCTGTTGCAAATGAATGTTTTAAAGTGTTAACAAGCAAAGATTTCAGTTTGAGAACTAAAGTACACTCGAGTCAAGCTTTGGTATTTTCAATTTCCTCACCTGAACTGAACACTGGATGAGGAAGACCAAACAGAACTGATGCTTGTGAATTATGATGTAGGTAAAAAGTAATTACTGTATCCTTGAATGTCAATAGAATGAACAAATCTATCTTGGAAAAAAGTGCTCCTTACAAGAAAGGATGGCAAGACTTTGTCTCTTGGACTTTAGACACTTAATCAGGAGGGATTGTTTCCAGAGAAGGACATCATGGTGGTAAAGTCAGCAAAACAACAAAGAGGAAGCCCTGAGTGAGATGGACTAATGCAGCAGCCATGACAGGGAAAACGTCCAGGACTACATAGTGTTTCCTTCTATTGTAGATGAGGGGCCTGTAAATTGGAATTGACTTATCAATGTGTCAGATATTCTTCTAGTCAATAGTAGACATTTGTAAACACAAGGGACAAATATCCCTGCCCCGGAGATTACAAGTTAGTCTGATAAAACAAATAGGAAAAAGAAAAAAAAATTAAAATCCTATTTCATCAAGTTTAAGGTACATTTTTATTCTTACTTACTTTTAAGAAAAGGGATTATCAATGAAATGATCATGTACCATCAAGTATGATGAACACTGACCTCAGGGATGTTAAGACATGAAGAGTGTGTGTCTTATGTTGTTATTTTGTGCCATCGAGTTGCCTGCGACTCATAGCGACCCTATGTACAACGGCCCAAAACTCTGCTCTGTCCTGTGCCAATCGCACTGTCTCCGACACTCTCATTCCAATTATCCCAGTTACTGAATCAATCCACCTCATAGAGGGCCTTCCCCTCCTGCGCTGTCCCTCCACCCTCCCAAGCATGATGTCCCTCTCTAAGGACCAGTCTCTCCTCACATGTCCAAAATATGTTAGACGGAGCCTCAGAATCCTTGCCTCCAAGGAGCCACCGGATTTAACCCTTTCCAGGACAAATCTGTTTGTTTTCCTAGCAGTCCATGGTATTCTCAATACTCTTCTCCAGCACCACAGCTCAAAGGCATCAATTCTCCTTCTATCCTCCCTGGTCATTGTCCAACTCTCTGATGCATAACAGGTGATTGTGAAGACCATGGCCTGTATCAAACACACCTTAGTCTCCAGAGAGACACCATTGCTCTTCAGTACTTTGGAGAGGTCCCTAACAGCAGACTTTCGCATGGCAATGCGCCTTTCAATTTCCTGGCTACTGGTGCCAAGAGTGTTGACTGTGGAGCCAAGCAAGCTAAAGCTGTGAACAATCTCAATCTCTTCACCATCCATCCTGATGCTGCCAATTGGTCCAGTGGTGAGAATCTTTGTCTTCTTGACATTGAGCCTCAATACATATTGGAGGTTGCAGTCCTTGACCCTCTGCAGCAGGTGCTTCAGGTCCTCCTCAGTTTCAGCAAGCAGGGTAGTGTCATCTGCATAACGCAGATAGGTGGTGTGTCTTATAGTAAGTTAAAACGGTACAATAGAAAATCACATAGCAGGTCACTGGAGGATTTTAGTGATGATCTGAATGTTGTTATTTTGACTGTTATGAATATTCTAGTTACTCTGTGACTAACAGAACTACTTTTCACCTTAGATCTGCACCCAACACAGTTTTGTTAACAAGAAGTTACGATATTTTTGTGGAGATGTTGCCCTCTCCTGGCTCAAACTATAACTACAGGTTAAGGAAAGGCTCAAAATAAAACCAAAACCCAAAGCTGCGGCCATAGGATTGATTCTATTTCAGATAAATGCAGTAGGGTAGTATAATGTATATCAAGGTTTGTTTTGTTTTGTTTTTAAAGTCTAGCTTGTTTCACAAAACAAACGTGAGAAAGTTACGCTCTGGAGAATCAACTCATCTGATGATGGGGTTCTGAAAAGGCCAGGATGTGTGTACACTGAGGCAGCTCCCATTATTCTACCACTTTATAGCCGAGGAAACTGAGGCACCCACTGATTATGTGCTTTGCTCCGGGATGCAGAGCTGGTCAAGAATAGAGCTCCTGACTCTGACTCTGTCCTCCTTCCCGCTTCCAGGGCTGGCTGGAGTGACAGGCCTTGGATTCGGCTGACACCCTCCTGCCCACTTCCGCCTCCTCCCTCAGCACCCTCAGGCCCTGGTTTTCTCCGCACAGTGTTTCGTGCACTTTCCACCCACAGGTGCTCTGCATCTCCCACGTGTGCAGCCCTGTGTTAGGCTGGGGAGAGGCACACCCAGACCCTGCCTGCCCTCAGTCCTCCCACTGCTCCCGCCTCCTGTCTGAACGAGGCATGAGCTGCATCATCACCTTTTAATCTTCACACCGAGAGATGCGTATTATTAGTGACATTTTGCAGACAAAAACAGTGAGGCGCAGAGAAGTGAGGTGATTACCCCAGCAAGCAGGCAAGTGACTCAAAACTCGGGCTGTCTAACCCCAGTGCCTGCATCTCTCAGAATCCTGCGTGTCTGCTCCTGCCCAGCAGTCGGGGGAGGGGGAAGGACTCTTTAAAGATGGAATTCTGGCTGCGACTTTCCTGTGACTTCTGGCTGGCTTACAGTGAAACCTGGCGCCATGCCCAGCAGCTCTGGGGCCCTACACGGCCAGGCCCTGCTTCCGGTCTTGCCTCCTCCCTGCCAACAACCATGCTGGCCACCTCTCCATTCTCTCTGGACTCCAAGGCTAGAATGAGCCTTTCCTGTTCTTTCCCTCCCGGACAACTATCTGTCCTTTTAAGTCTCAGCTAAACTTTGACTTACCTCAGAGATGCTTCCCTTGACCTCAGTGCAGGCAGTCCCCATCCGCCATTCTCATCTCTCCATGCACTTTGGCACCACCACTTTTGGTCATCATCGATGGTCATTTGTCTGTTACTAGTGGTCCTGGTCCTACACTGAGAGCTCCAGGAGGCAAGTCCTTGTCACTGATGTCCATTACAGAGGATACTGCCTGGCCAGTGAAGGTGCCCAGTGTGGGCTGGTAGAATGAATTGAGTGGATGAGGGTATCAATGAGTCTTCTATCTGTTCTTGATGTTTTACAGGGCTCTACCTGCCACTCACTCTGCTTCTCTGCCGAGGAAGCCTGGCAAGCTCATTGTCAACCACTGGCCTCCCAAGGCTCACTTAGCCCAGAACCACAGTCTCCATCCTGGGTTCTCATCTCCTTCCTGGATTTCCCCAGACCCTACAAATAGGAGCCTTAACTCACCATGCTGCCCTGGAACCTATCCATGCTGGTGCTCCTTTCCCAGATGGGTTCCTCCAGTGCCTTGGGCACCAGGCTTGCAGTCCAGGCATCATCCTGGGCTTCTCCACTTCCCCTGCACCCACATTCAGCCAGTTCCCATGCCTGCTGACTAGGCCTCCTCCTTGGTAGCTGTCCCCAGATCTTCCTTCTTGGAGTCTCCACCCTGGTTCCAGCCTTTCCCTCCTTGCCTGACCTCAGCAACAACTTCTATCTACCTCAGCCTCCTTCTCTGACACTCATCATCCCAATAAAACATGGTGAAGCAATAGTCAGATCATACTTGTCCCCTACCCAGGGCCTTTAGTGAAGTCCAGAAGCCCCTGCCCCAGCATTCAGGGCTCCCACAGTGTGGCCTTGCTAGCTCCTCCAGCTCTTTGTGTTCTGTGCTGTTACATGGACCCCTGGAAATGACAGGCCCTTTCCTTACTCAGCACTGCATTGCTGTTCCTGCAGCTGAGGAGGATCTCAGCATCTCCTCCAGAGAACCCTCACCGACTCCACATCAAGTAGGTGCTGCCTGGCTACTTCCAGGGAGCTCCATTCACTCAAGTGTGTTCCCGAAAGGACTGTGAGATCCTATATCTGGAACAGGGACAGAACCTGACATGCAACCGGGACTAAACAGATGCTATTCAACAAAAAGTTTTACATTCAATGAATTAAATGGAGTGGGAAAGCCACCAGACAGGGTCCACAAGCCTAGGGCTATCAGGAAAAAGTGGAGGGGCAGTGGGGACAGGCAGCTGTGACCTGCACTGTTGAAGTCCCTCCTGTCTGTCCTGATGGGCTTTCTCCTCCTCCGGAGCAGGCAATGGATGCTTCCATACTGGAACAGTGCATCCTCTGTCTATGAAGAGTTTTTGTTCACACCCTTCCGGACACCTTCTGGTCTTGAGTTGCCATGAGCCTCACCTGCATCAGTGTACGCAGCGACTCCACATATGACTGCTCTGTGTCCAGCAAGGTCATGGTCACATGCTTCCGCATATCCTGGGGAGACAGGAGGGTGGAGAGTGAGGAGCACTGCGTTCCCCTGGGACCACGTTATCCAAAGCTACATGAGGCCCACAAGACCCACCTGTGCCCCCAGCTCTAGCCTTCAAGCCTACTCTCCTGCCATTCAGAGCTCCTGGCTTTCCCCCAAACACCTGGGTCCTAGTACCTCTCAGTGCCACACCTCTGCTCAAATGGTCCCCCTGCTGGCAATGCCTTCCCACTGCATCTCAGACACCTCCCACTCCCACCTTTGTCACAGCTGTTGCTGTTGGTACGTGCCACTGACTCTACTACAACTCCTAGTGACCTTATGAACAACAAATTAAAGCCCTGTCCTATCCTGTGCCACCCTCAAGACATTCTCCATGCTTGAGGCCACTGTTACAGCCTCTCCATGGAGATGGAGTCAATCCACCTCGTTGAAGGGGGTGGTTGTGGTGCTGGTGGTGTCTTTCTCTCTTTTGCTGACTCCTCACCTTTCCCAGCATAATGTCTTTTTCCAATAACTGGCCCCTCCACACAACATGCTCAAAATATGTGAGACCAGATTTCACCATCCTGGCCTCTAGGAAACATGCTGGTTGCAGATTTAGACATCTGTTTACTTATGGACCCCATTTCTGGGCTCTTGAAAAGGATTCTGAAAACAGACTAATAAAACCCAATAGTCTCTCAGATTTGCAAAGGAGAATGCTTCCAGACCATCCCCAACCCCAACTGCCAGTTCTGGAGGCCCCACATTTAGGATTATCACTATGGGGACTGGGCTTCATAGCCCACGTGGCTGGGCTTCATAGCATCCCTAGGAATAGAAACTATTACCCTCCTGAATAATGGCAACATGACCCAAAAAGGTGAAGCTGGTGCTGAAAGTCACATAGCCAGATGGTATGTGACCTCAGGTAAAGATGGAGTCCAGTTCTTTGTCCAAGGAGGTTAAGTAAGCTCCATTCTCTGTCAGGCTCTGTTTTAAGCATCACATACACTTTATTCAATCCTCCCAGCTGCCCAGTGCAGTATATGTTATTTTTCCCATGTTAAGGATGAAAAAAAGGAGGTACAGAAAAGTGAAGTAACTTAATCTAAGCCATCAAAGCCTGGGAAAAGACCCAGTTACAAGAGGCCAGTTATGCAGTGATGGAGGGGAGGCACAGCCATGGCAGGCTCAGGGGTACAGGGGTACACACTGCCCCTCTCTAGTCTTAGGAGGAGGCATAGGGAGAAGAGGAAGCCCATGAGGACACTGCAGGGACTCTGGGACTATGCTCAGGGACCAGCCTCTGCACCTATATCCTTAGGGCTAGGAAACTCTGCACCTATATCCTTGAGGCTAGGACGGTCTGCACCTATATCCTTGGGGCTAGGAAATTGCTACGTGAAAGCTTAAAGGAGACCTGTGTAAAAGCTTGCTGGGAGCCAGCTGAGGGATGTACCTATTTCTCCTCCTCCTCCCAGATGGCACCAGCTCCAACAACCTCCCTTTCTTGGCCAGGGCTCTACTCTCAAGTTCCTCTTAACCAAGATTCTGTAGTGACCTTGGACAAAGCTCCAAACCCCTCTGAGCCCCAGATCTTAGTGTTCATTGCTTCCTTCTCACTCCCTGTTCCACTCTGGACTCTGCCTTGGGCTCAAGACCCACAGATCTGAGTGTACCTCTTTGCACATTCCAGGGCCAAGGTAAGTGACCACAACCGTGCCATCTCCCCAGCCTCCACTCCCTATACCTAATGTGTTCTTTGGGGTAGGGCTGTCCTGGCAACTGCTATGCTCAGGGGCTGCTAAATAGAGCTTGTGGGTCTGCAGGACACCCGAAGCCCCAGTCTTGCTCACTGCTCACCCCTCTGTTCATAGTATACTTACCTCTTCCCCTTCCTTTGACTCGAGGACTCAGAGGTAGTCTGTTGAGGCACACTTGGAAAAGTAGGCTTCTACACTACGAATGCAGGGGTAGAGTACTGAATGACAGCCCCCTCATGAGCGAAGCTCACCCCTCCCTGCGTTCTTTTGATGACATGAGAAGGCCAGGCTCTGCTTCAGAGCACTTGGCGCTCTTCAGGTTTCTGGGGCCTTTACAAGTCAGAGCAGTTTCTAGTTGGAGGCAGCATGAGCTAGGCCCACCCCAGGACAGAGAGCTTAGAAGAGCATCCAGGGTCAGAAGACCTCCCAAAGCAATGCTCAGCTGCCCAATCTTCCTTACCGCCCTGCCTTCAGGGGACACCTCATCACTTCACAGACATAGCCTCCTTTCAACTTCATAGTTCTATGACAAGAGTGTCATTACTTCTTTAGATGAGGAAACTGAGACTCAGAAGGCGGCATAACTTGACCAAGGTCACAAAGTCAGTAACCAGCAGCACTGGGTCCAGATTCTCTTCAACTTAGACCTGATCTTGGTGAGCAGTGCAGTATGCTGCGGATCATGCTGCCTGAGCGAGCACCCTGGGGTTCCGGGACTTGGAGTTCTCACCAGCCTGACAAGATAACTTTGGGCCACCGGATCCTTGGCTCCAATCCTACTGGTATGTGACCTGCTGTCACCTAACCACCTTGTTTTCACAACTTCCTCTGGAAATGTAACTAATGAAACCATACTCTCAGCCCCATGAAAGCAAGGAGATAGGAGGGGGACTGCTCTCTCCACACACAGAGGGTCCTCGACACTCATTCTTATTCTACAACAGCTAAGTTATTTGTCAGAATGTCTTCCCTGATGGATGGCGGCCCTGAGAGCAGGACCAGGCCAGGCTCAGCCCTGGACTGCACAGCCACCATTTCCCCCCTCCCTGCCTTGCCAGGCCCAGCTGGGTCCAGAGGGAGGCTGGGCTGGTGTTGGGCCTGACGACTATGAGTTAGAGTAACATGGGGAGGCTGGTGCTGCTGTGCCTGCCTTTCTCAGCCTCTTCCCTGCTTAAAAGTAGAGTGGGCTGTCACTCAGCTGTCAGGTGAAGGCAAAGAAAACAAGGCCAAATTCCAGTCACTGCACTGAGCACCCTCCGGCACGTGCCCAGACACGGGTACAAGTGTCTGCATGGGTGGGGAGACGGGGCCATGGAAACAAGAGCGAGGCAACACAGCTGTCTACTAGGCCAGTAGGCCCACCTGTTCCCCACAGGACAGCTGTGTAGGCCCAGCTGTACCCTGGGCTTTCCCCCTGACGCCTCCCCTTTCAACAGTACTATCCTCCTGACCATCACTCCACAGGGCACTGAGATGGGAAGTGATGGGATGAGAGGCTGAGGAGATACAGCAGAAAGCTAGAGCCCCCAGTATGATTATGGCAACTGGACCCAGAGACAGGAGATATGGGAGATATACAGCATGAAGAGAGAGGCCCGTGTGCATACAGACAAGACTGACACACCAGCAAAGAAACAAAATGTGTGGCTGAGAGTGCCAACTGAGTGAGAAGCTGGTCCTTAAGGCCAGAGACATCACTGCACAGGGAGGAAGGCAGAAACAGAGCCCACAATGAATCCAGGAGGGCTGAACAAACAAGAGACCAGGCCCAGAGAAAAGCACAAAGGCAGGGAAACGGCCACTGGAAGGCTCCCCCTCCCCTGCAGGGGAACCACACAGAGCCTGAACCGGGATAACACTTCCCACAGCAGCACACACCCACGGTCCAGGCCCAGGAGGTCTGGAGGCAGAGGACCGCCAGGCCCCAAATTGGTAATACCCCTAGCACAGATACATCTGGGGCTGCCTCAGACCTGAGAGGGAGGGTTGGGAAAAGCATCCTTTTCTGAGCATGCGGGCCTATGATTCTCCTGGGGACAGCTTCCCCTCCCACCTTCCCCAGATGATCAGTGGAGTGCCACCAAGCTAATAGTGACCCCCCGCCCCCCCCCCCACCCCGCCCCCGGATTTGCCAGCCTTCAGGTCATCCTGAGCTTGCATCCTGGAGGAGCCAAACTTCAATACTCGCCCATGCACCTTGCCAGGATTCCCTACAAAGTCCCTCACCCTCCCTTCCCCCATCAAGGGTCACGGAGCCCTCAGTCCTGTGGCCAGCAGCCTGCCATGTAGGGCCTGACCCCAGTTCCACGATCTGGGTCCCAGCATCTGCCCATGCTTCTGCCAACCCTGGGTGGGCTGAACTCTAGGACTTAGCCCAGGCCACTTGGCTGCCCATCCCCCTCCCTGTACCTGGGTCTCCCCAGGCTCCTCCGCCTCAGCGCTGCTGCTGCCCTCGGCAGGCTCCCTGGAGGAGGCAGTAGCTTGGCCCAGTTCACGCATTTCTTCCAGTGCGATGGTGAACTGGGCCAGGGTCTTCACCATCTGCAGCATGCGGCCGGCCCGCCGCCGCCGGGGCGGGGGCGCTGGAGCAGAGGAGCGGCGCGGGCCGGCCGGCCTCCTCCCACCCGCTCGCCCTTCCGGCAGCTCAGCCCTGCAGCGGTGGTGGTGATGGTGGTGGTGACGGTTCCAGTGCGGATCTGAGCGTGGCAGCGGCGGCGGGGTGGCTGCGACGCGGTAGCCTCCTCCGCGCTGGGAGGACGCACCGGCGAGCCCGGCGCGGCACTGCTGGGGGTGGGGGAAGGCTCCCCGCCCTCGGCCAACTCCCACCCCCCGCCCCGCGGCGCCTTCTTTCCTAACACGCCCAGAGTGGCCGGTCCCTGCGACCGTCTTCCTCCCCCACCCCTCACCCAGGGCAGCGGTAACCTCTTGAGGGCCCATCCCCCCTCAAAGATACAAGGGGAGTACACACGGCAACACGCACTTTCTGTGCACATCTGTACCAATGCTGGCACACGCAGAACCCAGGTCTCCACCTAGGGGGACAGGCACACATGCGGCACAAACCTACCCAGGTATATGGAAACCTGCCGTCTGGCCTTGTTCACACAGGTGCTCGGACCCAGCCGCACATACGAACCCCATGCTATACAGGCCTAAACTCTGATGTACGGATTTTTTGAGTCTTATGTTCTGCTGGTTTAGTGTTAAGGAATTGTACTACCAACACAAACATACTCGGTTCGAATCCCACCAGCTGC